AAAGCTTGTTTTTTCTAACCGGTGATAAAAGCCTCATCCCCTTTACTTCAAAGCGGGAGTCAGGAAGTTTTTCCATCTACTGGGTAGAACAAGGGAATATACAAAAGACAGGTTAATTCCCCCAATCCCGGATCTCCGTCACACCCCCTCCATCACGAATGGGTCCAATCCCTTGTGGATGAGCCATTCCCAAACGTGACAGAGCATCTGCAACCCAATTATTCTTTCCTTTAATATGTTGCATTACAAAATCAAAATCCTGGATCTGCAACGCCCACCTCATTACACGCATGTTATCATTCTTCATCCTATGAATAAAGGTAAGAGGCGAATGATCTACCTGCAATCTAAAGCGATTGCCTGCCAAATAAGGGCGCAGTTTCTTCAAAGCCCATACGATTGCCAACGCCTCTTGCTCCATCACTGCATATTTCCTTTCCCTTACCAACAATTTTCTGCTGAGATACAATATTGGCCTCAAACTCCCTTCAATTTCTTGGGCCAGCACCGCGCCCACGCCCACTCCAGAGGCGTCCGTCTGGACGATTAGCTCCTTGGAGAAATCTGGGGATATCAAGACTGGAGCATGTGTTAGACTATGTTTTAAACGTTCGAAAGCATCCTGATGTTCACTCTCCCATCGCAATACTTTAGGAGCCCTCCGACTACACAAGTCCGTTAACGGGGACGCTATAGAACTGTATCCAGGAATGAATCGCCTATAAAAATTCACAACTCCCAAAAAAGACTGAAGTTCCCTTTTCGTGCTAGGGGCAACCCACCGATTAATGCTAGCAACTTTGACTTCTTGTGGGCTGATCTTCCCCCCTCCTACTACAAACCCCAAGTACTCCGTTTCCCCAAAAGCCATCTTACATTTCTTCGGCCTGACTGTCAGACCGCCATCTCTTAACCTATCGAGTGTCTCCCTCAAATGGACCAAATGCTCGGGCCAACTTTCTGATATGACCGCTACATCGTCTTGGTAAGCAAAAGACTGATTCAGCCCCTCCAGAACCCCATCCATGAGTCTCTGGAAACTCTTACCCGCTGAATTCAACCCAAATGGAAGCCTTAAAAATTCATAATGTCCAACCTCACAGGAAAAAGCTGTCTTTTGCCTAGCCTCTTCCGTCAATGGTATTTGATAGTATCCCTTGCTACAATCCAAAGTAGTGATAAACCTAGCAGCAGCTAACCTCCACCAGGTGCTCAATCCTAGGCAACGGATAGGAATCCAAAGGTGTCATGGAATTTAACTTCCTAAAGTCCACACACATATGATATTCTACTGGATCTCCTTCCACCAGCTCCTTCTTTTTAACCATCACTATGGGAGAAGCCCACTTGCTATTAGACTTCCGTATGATC